ATTTTTTCTTTTCAAGGCATTTTACCTATTTGCATTTTTTTCATCCCAGGCCCCAGCTCCTCTATTGATTAATATTGTTAAACTTGATTTTTGGAATGTAAGGGTAACATGGTCATTTAGTTTCTTTCAGGCAGTTCATATAAACAGAATAGAAAAGTACCTTTATCTAATAAAAGAACAATCCATTAATCCAATGAGCTAGCTATATATAGGTGTTTACTTTGAAAAAACAACTTAATAGAGAAAGCTATTGAAATGATGTTTCCTTCCAATTTCTCAAGTGCCTTGTCATTTTCTCAAATATCTTTTAAGCATCGTTTATGGAGACAGTACTTGATGGCAAAAGGAGGACTTAAATCACTACTGAATAAAGATTAAATGTTTCTGTTTCTTTTAAGGTCTGAAAGTTTATTATGGGGTTGAACCTGGGCTGTGAAACCCGTTGTCATTTCATTGGCTTCATGAAAGTTGCAATAAAATTTGGATTTTTGCTTGGAACATGCAACTTTTTGGCAAAATTTTCAATTAAAGTTGCTTATTTGTGTATAATGTTACTATGAATATGTTTTGTGATATTTTCAGTTAAAAGTATACTCCAATGAAATTGTTTGGTGAGTATTTCTACAACAATCCAATTTTAGGTGAAACTGCATCGTTCGACACAGATGTTATCTGGATAGTAGCAATATGATATGATAACGAATCAAAATAACTCTAGCCATGGTACACCCAAAAAAAATACAAAAAATATGATTCACGATCTTTTCTAGGCATTTTGTTGTATCTGGCGTCGTCTTTTAGAATTATATGTGTATCTATTATCTTAAGTTTCCTGAATCATCTTTTTCTTCAAAGAAAAATTCATACTTGTCTTCTGATCAAGTAAGCATCTCATCAAATCTAGCTATCACATAAGGTTATCATATAATATCACAAATGAAAAAAATAACAAGGCATAGAAGAATTATTTGATCGTAATTATAGATCATAATTCCTTATGCTTGATTAATCATACACCATAAGATGACAATGTTAAACATTACAATAATTATTTGATCGTTTATCCCATGTTGCAAATCAAAACATGCACCTTAACACTTGAAGCTATTTTTTACTTGATTCTTCTTTAATTGTGCACGACCTTGGGCTATCTATGGTTATTTTCAATTGCTTACTGTGTCCATCTATTTAACGTCCATCTGTTTGTGTTCTCAATTCTAATGATTATTGTGTCAAGCAAATAAAAGATATCAAGTCAATTTATACAAACGAATTGCTTGAATTATATGAACAATGTATATAGTAGTTGTCAAAATCATGGGTTCATATAATGACCATGTTAGGATATTTAATATTATACCAAGTTCATGCACCTTTGTATGTTATTTTAAAAGAAAACTTTCAGATTCTACTTTAGACTATTTGGCATGCTAGTTTATCTTAATAGATCTGTAAGCTAGTAGTACATTTTAGTTTCTATCTCATATACAATGTTTAGATTAACTTATTGCTTAATTTAACAACCCCACCTGAGTTTTCTATTTCACTGTCATTATACATTTATTCTATTTTCAAGAATTTTTCTTTTACCAGATCATGTGGATAAGTCTTGGATGAATATAGTTCATAGGACAAAGGACCCAAGATATGAGTTGGGTGTAAATGAATTCCTTAATTTTGCATACCGCGATAGAGAAGTGTTGTCAAAAGTTCCATGCCCTTGCAAAAAATTCAATAATTTTCGACATCATAACCGAACAACTATATTCTCACATTTGATGCAAATGAGAATTTTTGTTAGTTATGTTAGGTGGATATATCATGGTGAGTCATATGATACATCGGATGATGATATATCAATCGATGAAGTTGATGGGGCTAGTGATGACTTAAATGATGATGACCTTGATGAGATGTTAAATAACATAGGTCAAAGTAAATGGGGTGATAATTGGCAAGCTAATGGTGATTCCTCATGTACCTTAGACAAGGATTTAGAAGCCCTCCGAAGATTGATGGATGAATCGCACCGGGAACTTTATGAAGGATGTCAATGTTACTCACAATTTTCGTTTATTGTTACAATTTTACATCTAAAGACAACAAGTGGTTGGTCCATCAAATCATTTGATGGTTTGCTTGATATATTTAGAAAAGCCTTGCCAACTCCATCATTAGTCCCAAAAAAATTTATGAAGCAAAAAAATACATACGTGATTTGGGTTTTCAAGAAGAAAAAATTCACGCATGTGTTAATGACTGTGTTCTTTATCGAAAACAATATGCGTCTCATACCCACTGCCCAAATGATGACTGCAAAGAGCCTCGATTTAGCGGAAATGATTTGAAAGTACCACGAAAGGTGCTTCGATACTTTCCTCTCAAACCTAGACTTCAAAGATTGTTTATTGACAAACAAGTCGCTTGTGACATGAGGTGGCATAAGGAAAAACGAGTCGATGATGATAAAATAGTTAGACATCCTGCGGATGCTGAAGCTTGGAAACATCTTGGTAAAGAGTTTCCTTCATTCTCTATTGATCCACGTAATATACGCTTAGGGTTGGCAACAGATGGATTCAATCCATTTGGTAACTAATAAAGTAAGTGATTCTTTTTATGTAATGATATTTTTTATTTTTTTCATATAATAACAAGTCTTAATTTTTAACTTTTTAGTTCACATAAAGCTGAACTAGAGGAAGAAAACACCGACAATGTAAATGAACGTCATGAAAAACAATTTGCATCATGGCTTCGCCAACGTGTAAGAACTATATTTGATGTTTATTGTTTTAAAATTTAATATGGGAGTTTTAAACTCTTGTTAACCAATATGTTATATATTTTTATTTAGGTTAATTCTTGGCCACAATTGTTTGAATACGAAACTCGTATATTTTCGCATGTGCCATCATGTTATGTCAACCAGTATAGTGGATGTTTGGTCAATGGGTATAGGTTCCACACACAAAGTCGTGAGAAGAATCGAAAATCTCAAAATAGCGGAGTTGTAGTGCAAGGTGTTCATGAGGAAAACATTATTGATTTTTATGGGACATTACAAGAAGTGTTAGAAATTGAATACTTGGGTGAAAATAAAAGAGTGTTAGTATTCAAGTGTGATTGGTTTATGGTCGGTGATAAGAAAGGGCTAAGAATTGACAAAGAATCCAAAGTTAGAAGTGTGAATACATCCAAAAAATGGTACATAGATCAACCATACATACTTGCTTCACAAGCCAAACAAGTTTTTTATGCACCTGATTTAAAATTGGGCAAAAATTGGTATATGGTTCAAAGTAGTGCCCCTCGTGCATTGTATGATGTTCATGTAACGATGGAAGAAGTACATCATGAATATGAGCCACATCTAAATCTAACTGTTGATTTGAATATGGACAAATTATCCTTAACAAGAGATAACGTCCCATTGGAAGTGGTGGATGCCTTAACCATTGCATTGCATGATATAACTCAAAAAACATGTACAAAGGCAAGTACATCAAGGACAAGAGCCCGTTCTTAGTAAAGGTATTTATATTTTATGCTAAAATGGATAATGAAGCAATTGTCCAACAAAATGAGGGAATACGATAAAAATATTTTTACTCATAGATTTTACAATTACTTAAACAGATGCAATGGAAGGCATAAATAAAATGGTAGAAAAAGAATAAAGGTTCAAAATAAAAGTTCAACCTTTATGTTCTTTATCAAGTTCAGAATAAAAGTTCAGCCTTTTTGCTGTTTTTCAAGTTCAAAATAAAAGTTCAGCTTTTGTGTTGTTTTCAAGATTAGAATAACGACAATGTACTTCCCTTTTCTTATTAATGCAATTTATCTACAATATAAGTATGTATTTATTTGATCTTTAGTTTAATTTCATTTATTTATCTTCTTTCTTCATACCTTGATGATGTATGATTAAATACATTTATTCACTAATTTATTTAAGTATTTGTTCTTGTAGCATCTTCAGATTTGCATCAGTCAAAAGAAGATTGTCTCTAGTGAAAAGGTAACCTTTTAAAGAGTATTGAGGTATCGAGTGTTAAGCAATGGAAACCATGCAAATCATGCCTTGGAACTTGAAGCTCCCCATAACATAGTACTCTCAAATGACAAAGATCTTTGGACAATGCCACCTGTCAACAAGACCAATTTATAAACTTTTAATTTAGCTATAAGTTGGTCCACCCTTTTTGTTGAGACAAAATATTTCATTTTTAATTCTATGTATTTATGTCGGGAATGACTCCTAAAACATTATCTAGAAGACCATTTGTATCTGTTCGAATGCGAACATGACAAGCTGTGCCGCCTACTGGCAACATACTCAGTCAAAATAGGCAACAAATTTACCCAACTTCTTTCGTATAACTTTCCATGTAAAATGAAAAATTAATTAAATTTAACTCTTAAGGTTAAAATGGTAATTTTTTTCATACATTCCATGTAAAGTGTTGTTATGGATAAATGCGGACCTCCCACTTGTTGGATTACTATTATGTTATGAGAAGCCTAATTATTTTCCACAAAATGATGATTTTAGTAAAAAACTTGTTTATTTAACCATGTTTTAATCTACTATTAAATTTAGTTCTAGTAAAACATTAAAACATTGGTAAAGTTTAGTTTCTTTAACATGCAAGAAATAGCAATGTACTTTTTTTACTTTGTTTGTTATAGCATCATACTCTCATTTCTTCTAATAAAAGTTTGCTTTGTATTTGGTTAACTTATAGGCTATAGCACACAAATATATTCAACCATAAGATTTACATTTGTTTGTTCTTTTACATGATTGCACTGTCTTATTAAGCATTGTACTTTAACAACTCATTTCAATAACACCAGAACAATCAACTTACATTAACTTTATGTATTATATTAATGTTTGTATTAGGGCCCGAGTGTTGTTTTTAGTGAAATTATATGTAACCTTACTAGTCTATATTTTTAGGTTTACAAAGGATATTAGACATGTAAATAAAGATATGGGAGGTCAAAATGAGGCATCTAACCTTCGTGATGAAGTAAGCAATCAACTTACATTAACTTTATGTATTTTCTTATTTTTACTTTTTTATAGCAATGTATAATGGTATCGGTGATTTTGAATTCTAGAAAGTACCATTTAAATCTGAAAAAGAAATTAATTTCAGAAAAGTACATTGCTATTTAAGAATATAATGTCTTTTATGTACTCTTTATTGTCTTGTTTAGTATGCAGTGTTTAACTAGACATTTGATGGATCAGAAAAGACATCGGGGAATAGAGAACCCAAGTCAACAAAAGTTGAAGAATACTAATTTTTCAAAGATGGTATTTTCTCTAACTTTGACTTTTGATAACACTTTACATGGAATTAAAAATGTGTGTTATTGTTATTTAGATGGTTAGCCCTGGAAAAAGGGTATTAAAGAGATCTGACCTTCAGAAGTCACCTTCTCATAAGAGAATTACTAATCTCATGTTGCAAGATGAAGAGTTGCCTACCTATGTAACAATGGAGTCACTTTCTCCCCATCAAAGTCATATGAGAAGAGTTTCTAGTTTGAACCACGATGAGGAAGATTATGAAGAAGAGGAACACGAAGTTGATTCTGTTCGAGATGAGAACATTGGTTCAACTTCTCATGGTACGTTGATTTGAAGTAAAATAGTATGTGATTAATGTATATGATTATATAATTAATCAATTTTCTTGTTGACTAAATCTATGTAGGCATGTCTAATACTCGAAAAGAATCTAGAGCTTTGAATGAAACTAAAAAGAGGCGCTCGAATAAGGTAAATGTAGTTTTTGAAGTTGATGAATGTGTTGGTCGTATAGTGGGGAAGATAGTCAACAATTCATCACTAAGGGTGGGTGTGTAGTTAGAGATCATGCAAAATTTGATGGAACCACTTGGAAAAACCAATCAGATTTGTTGAAGTATGATATTATCACTAAATGCACGGTATGATGTTATCAACTCTCTATTTTAATATTTATTATGCTTCATGCAAAAGTTTCTTTAAAGAAACAATATACTTTCATTTCTTTCTATTATAGCATTGTACTTTCATTTCTTTTATTATAGCATTGTACTTTCAAAAAAGACAATGTACTCCAAAAAGTTTCTTCAAAACTGTACAATCATGTAATCAAAAGAAATGAAAGTATGATGTTATAATAAACAAATAAATGAGAATACATTGCTATTTCCTAATGTGTTCTCTTAAATGAACCTTTATGTAGGAAAATTCAACTTATGATCCAAGTTGTCGCTCGATGGTGCGTGCTATCAATACACAACTGGCGAACCAACATAAAAACAGGCAATATAGGTTGCACCTTCATTTCAAAAAGTTCTCTACAAAAGAGGAAGCAATCAATCATCCTCCAAATGGTGTAATCAATGCTGATTGGGTAAAACTATGTCAAAAATTTGCAAGTGAAGAATTTCAGGTTTTTACTTCTTTGCCAAATTATATCAAGAAATGGTAAAATGACATAAATGGTCATTGAATTTTTACTTCGCATAATTATAGAATTGGTCCCTTTGTATTCAATTTGCAGAATTATAAAATTGGTCAATGTGGTTTTTGGTTTGGAAAAATGATAGAAACAACCCTTGTGTTTTTTTTCTTCAAAATTTACAGAAATGGTCCCTATGTTTTACTTTGTAGAATTACACGAATGGTCCCTGTAACATCCGGATTTTCAGGGACATTATTGTGTATGTTAATCTTGAGATTTAAGGAGGGACTCGACGAGTTGAGGGACCAACTTGCCGAGTCGAGTCGAGTTGCTCGCGTGGAATTAATGAGTGGACTCGACGAGTCAGAGGAGGGACTCGCCGAGTAGGTGCTGGGCAGAGAAACCCTAATTTCCCGGGGTGGGACCTATTTAAAGGCATTTATAGCCTCATTTGCGACTACCTTCCCCTGAGAGCAAACCCTAATTGCTATTGGAGCTAGAGAGTGTGAGAGAAGCTCATATTGTGGTTCTTGGTGCATTTCTATGAAGAAGGATGAAGAGCTTCATGATGGGGAACAAAGGAAGGCATTGGATCTGTGATATTGAGTGTTTTAGCTGCTAAGAGAAGGTACAAAGTTCTCATCTTGTTCATTCCTTGTACTAGATCTCATTTTGGGAGTTTTAGGGCTTTGCTTCCATCCTTTTGAATCTATGAGTCGAATGAGACCTGCTTGTGGTTGGAAACGTCAGATCTGGACCCCCCTAAGGTCCTTAGAGTCTAGATGTCTCAGCTTTAGTGGTCCAAATGAGAGTTGATGAGCAAAAACCTTCATGAAGAGCATGTTTTGGCGTTTTGAAGCAATAGCATCATGTATGGACGTATAGATCGAAGCTTTACGTAATTATTGAGCCTTGGGATGATAGATCTATAGTTTAGAGTGATAGATCTGGTTGAAATCGTCTGAATGAGAAACCAGATCAAAGGGACTCGCCGAGTCCATGACCTGACTCGACGAGTCGGCGAGGGTTTGTCCCGATGGATTGATTGTGCGATAACTCGGCGAGTTGGGGGTCAACTCGACGAGTTAAGCTGGACTTTTGAGTCTTTTGAGGATACGAGGGGACTCGACGAGTCGCAGGAGTGCACTCGACGACTCGGGTCAAACTTGGACTGTTGACTCGAGTTTGACTTCTGTTGACTTTGGGGTTTTGGTCAATATATGTGATAGAGACCTTGGAGGGGTAAAATGGTCTTTTACCCACTTTAAAGAGTTAGAAAGAGAAAGAACCGCCTTCGATTATCTGAGTCGTGAAAAGAGTATAAATAAGAGATATTCATCCTTTCTGATAGGAGGAGGCTAGTTCGAGATCCGAGCGCGAGGTTATTTGCTCACCTGCTAGCCGAGGTGAGTCTTCTCACTATACACTACCTAGAGTGATAACTATGTGTAGACCGGAGGGTCTTATGTGTTATGTGTATGTTTAAGTTTATGTGCGTTGTGATATATGTATGCTATGTGTTATATAGACCGGACCGGAGGGTCCAACGACTTACGAGGCCAGAGGGTCCTCGAGTAGACCGGACCGGGGGGTCCAACGATTTAGACCGGACCGGAGGGTCCAACGAGCTAGACCAGACTGGAGGGTCTAACGAGCTATGGGACTGGAGGGTCCAACGAGCTACGGGACTGGAGGGTCCCGCTGAGACACATTGACCAGAGGGTCATACCGTGTTATAGCCTCGAGTGGCTATGTGTTGTATGTGGTATTTTGGGGAACTCACTAAGCTTCGTGCTTACCGT